ATCGAATACAGATTACTTGCATATGTCACAAACATATTTCAAAACATAAATCGCGGTGTATGATTCAATCAGAATTACTTCCGCGCAATCTTATAGGACATTGCACAAGTTTTGTTTAGATTTTTCTACAACAAGTCATATACCTTAACTTTGATCAAATTTCATAGTATTTCCTATAGAAAAACTATTACCAGTCTCTTTCCACATCTAGCTTAAAGTCACATAAAGAGTACTAGATGCTCAGATGGTTGAAATTCATGTCTCGGTTGAAAAATTCCTGCGAATACCTTGCGACTTAAGTATCAGACGTTCATGTGTTGTTCTTTTCATCTTATGGAATTCAGTAAACAACCATTTTTACGCTTTCGCCACTATATTGTTGTTCACCACATAAGTGGTATAATGTACTGCAAACTTTGAATCCGCCTTCGGTTTGTGCTTATCGGTCTTTACACAAAGCTATGGCCTTCGATTATGCCGTGAATCCACCGCGCCTCAGACACTTTGGATGAAAGCGCGGTAGGTGAGTGTGCAGACTCCTAGGACAAGCCCCAACTTTTGTTTGCAAGATCGATTCTTTTGACTTGCTACGCTTTTGCAACCCATTCTTAAAACCTATATCCAACGCGAAGTCCCTAACGCAAAAAGGTAATTCAACATCGAATGACCTACGAAGACTCATATTTTTTCAACAGTCAAACTCTCTTGAAAATCGAGGATGATAATGGTGAAAGCAAGATTTGAAATGTTGATGAGAAACCAAGAACAGAAGGACAGAAAACCTTGACACACATGTAGGATCTTTCCCCTCTCGATACTGCTTTCTATCCCATCTCGTAGGACTTTGTGAATGTCAGAACTGTGATGAAGAACATTTGAGCGATGTGCTCAGTGCCAATCTCTCCTATGCTTTCAGCATTTCGTTTTTGCCTTCCATGATTGCTCACAATGATTTTGAATCTATTAGTACTCTCAAAATTCAGAGCAAAATAAAGTTCTAGAATCTTTGAATGTTGAATTAGCTTTTCGACCGTATTAGGGACTTCGCGTTAATAATATAGATATCAAGGATGGGTTGCAGAAGCGTAGCAGAAGGAATCAATCTTGCAAACAAAAACTGGGGCTTGTCTAAAGAGTCCGCGCAACTGACACTGCGCTATACGTTCAACTTGTCTTTCTGGAAGACAAGTATTTATGATTCGCGGCGGACTCACGGCGGAATCGAGGGCCACAACTTCGTGTAGGGAGCCGATAAGCAGATACCGAAGGCGAATAAATTTTCAGCCCTCCATAATGTGTTCAACGGTACACGGCTTGCAGAAATTGGCCACTTCGGATTTTCTCTTGTAAGAAACATCGAATCCAGCTTCACGCGCTTTAGTAAGAGAAATTCAATAATTATTGACACCTAACGCTTGTACCCTATTTTCAGGTGTAGAAGCCGCACATTTTAAATTTTTTCATGTGAGCTGCTCAAACCGCCTCGCTGTGTTTCGGAAAGCAATCCTTCCGCATAATTCTCTCAGGCAATACGCAGCACAGTGTAGGGCCCTCTGGTTGCGGAGTCTTTTGGCTGTTTAGGCTGGTCAAATTGAAAGAAAATTCTCCCGGGCTTATACACTTGAAAATATGGTAAAAGGAAGAAAATTTTAGTTGTAATTCAATAACCTAAACTATAAGTTTGTTTATGTGCGAAAAGCCCAGCGTCGCGATGAAGGAATAAAAATTCTCGCCTTTTCAATCTAAGCGCAGAAAGAAAACGTCACCGGTATCTATAAATGTTTGCAGTGGAATGCTAGGCAGGCTAAAAAGTTCGTACCGTTTGTCGTGGACCGACCCACAAATTGAGAATGAAAGCAGGGTGACTGTCTACGTGCCACTCAAATTGTGCTCTTTCTTAGCTAGACTTTATCAAAGGGATTCTTTTGATACACTTAGTAATGCAGTATGCTCCCAAAACATCGTTCTTACCTTGTTTGAACTTTGCTAGCTATCGAAGTTATTCCTCCAAGCCTCAAAAGATGCATTTATTTATAAAATCCTGACGATGGATTTGACTGCGGTTCTTGCGATTACAGTGGCCATATTCATCAACGTTACCCAGTGGGTTCCGCTCCCCAGTGGGTAAACTTGCCCATGGGTTCGCTTACCCAGTGGGTAAGCTTACCCATGATCGGTAGTCACGAACGCCTCTGCCGCTGGGTTAGCTTACCCAGCAGCGCTGACGTCAGCAGGGTGCACATTGACGTCTATTTAAAGCACGTACTGGCATCCTTGCTGTGCCCTTGCATCGTTTTTGTAGTTCTTCACAACTATTTGTGTGCAATATCTTTACTACATATTAACAAACGCCTCCGCTGCGTTATCGAACTCAGCAGTGGTCCTCGAAATTCTCATCAAAATTCTCGCGTAGGTTTGAGTCTTTTAGCATGCAAGCTAATAGTTTGATTCGACCTCGGGACTGAATCATTGTTTGAGGCTTCCATCTTTCTAAAATTGACATGATCTGGTACCATGCAAAATTCAGATTTGTGAAAGTGGAAGGGGATTGGTTTTTCGAGTTCAGACTTCGAAGATGTGGTAAACTTTTAATAACATACATGGGATAAGGCGCCTAAAGCCTTACAGAATTACACATTTTTATTGCAGTCGTGATTCTGCAAGTGTTTCAAAGGGGCTCAAGCTTTCGGATGAAGGAGGGAAAAAAAGCATTTTGAACACTTAAAGTAGCCTAATCTATTCGAGTGCGAGAGAAACAGAACATTTTTTGCATGAATAGAGCACTAAATTTACAAGTGATTGACATACAATTTCGTATACGATACTTCTACGTAGTTGCAGTAGTATTAGAAAATCTCTAAGATGAGCTAGCATTGATGAACTCCATAGCTAAGAGTTTTTTGTTTGCAAAAATGTCAATTTTCACTTTGAAAAGGTCTTGAATTTTTCGGAGAATGGTGTCGTTAATTACCCTAATTTCACGCGTACAAGGCGCGGGGATTTTTTCTAAAATCCGTCAGCCCAAACACGCCACAACACTTCGCGACCAAAGAACCCTATACCGGGCTTTGTATTGCCTGAGAGAATTGAACGGTTTAAGGTTCGCTTTTCGAAACACACTGAAGCGGTTGAGCGGCTTATTTGAAAAATCGAAAAAGGTGCGCCTTGTACGCGTGAAATTAGGGTAGCTTAAACCGAAAGTTCAGTCGCTTTTATTTTGTAAAAATTCGTAACTGCTCCCTATGTGAACATAATTGCTTACAAAAAACTTCATCAGGAAGAAAAATTCATTTACTTTCTACAAACATCTTCGCAGCTCTTGATAGAAAGGGACTCTGCCGATTAAAATCTGAATAAGAAATTTTCGAAAATGAATTGTTACAAATACGGTGCAGAAAAATCTGAAATCATGTTTTTTAGCCACCGTAAGTTGTACTTTCTAATAGACCCGAATTTGTGCCGATCTGTACAAAGTTGTTTTTAGAGGAAAACGCAAAAATCGACAAAAATATTTTTTTTTACATTTTTTGCATTTTCCTTGAAAATTATGACTTTTCATAGATCAATCAACATAAAGTAGCACTTTTATAGAGAGCAGCTTACGTGAACTCAAGAACCGCGTTGAATTCTTTTGCAGCGTTTGAGATTTTTAACAAATGATTTTCAAAAATCAGGAGTTAGGGTGGTTCTCTTATTCGAATTTCTATGCATAGAGTTTCTTGTCGCCAGGAGCTTCGAAGATGTTCTAGGAGATAACTGAAGTTTTCTCTTTACTTCCTCATGAGGAATTACATTTACATAGGGAGCAGCTATGAATTTTTCGAAATCAAAACGACAGAACTTTTTTCAGCCTAATGTTTCGATTTTTTTCATTGAATTAGTAAATTGGTTCTCTGCTATGAAACTTTTTTTGACGGTTTTATAAAAAAAGTAATAGTAGTATCCAAGTAGGAACATTAGCATTCCTAGTATGACATACTACGGCCAGTAGCCATTGCTTCTTTCTGAAACTTCTACAGCGTTTGAAGAAAAGGCCACAATCCTTTATTACCCATTGCCATTCTCGATGTGTGCTTGGCTAGGAAGTTACCCACGAAAAGTGGGTATCGGAACCCACGATTTCTGGGTAAGGAGTTTCTTGAATACCGGTTTTGGGTAGGCTAACCCATCGAAGCTGTTCGTGAATACCGGTATGGCGGCATTTTGTGGGTTAGCCGACCCAGCGGTAGACTTAAGCCACTGAGTTCGCTTACCCAGCAGCTTCGTGAATACCGGTTTCGTGGGTTGAGGCTACCCACTGGGTAGGATAACCCACTGGGTTTCGTTGATGAATACGGCCACAGGAGTGTAAAACGCTCATACAAAAAGACATACCTTAACGCTTAGCTCGTTTACACCCAGTGTGTAAAAACTATCATACGTAAGCAGAAAACACATTCGATCAGATATGAAAACCAAGTGTTGAGAGGTGCGTGCGTATCGCGTGCGGTGGTGCCATTGTTACGATTTCCAAAATGCTCTATAGGCAGTAAAATGAGCGAAACTTTTGCAACGCAACAATTTTTTGCATCTTCTTAGTTTTCACAGTTCTCATAATTAATTTTAGCTGCCAAATTCTAACTTCATAAAAAATTGCCGAACATCAAGAGATAAGCAGCTCGTACAATTGCACGTTTTCTTTTCATATGGATTCTCTTCTCTACAATGTGTGCAGTGGGGTGTCTTTTTGAGCAGCGAAAAAAATCCACCAAATGCATTCTACCATTATAAGCATACTATGTGAAAATCAAGTTGGAAGTACGTAGAACTTTTCAGAAGAAGATCTGATTTTTGAAGCAGTTAAAAAATTTCAGCTTTTGGCTCCAAACTTTACATTGATTGCGATTTGGGTGAATCTGGTGGTATGTAGATCTATGTTGCATGGCACGTTTTATGTCTGCTCTTTTACATTCCTGCGTCATTTTTAGTCAACAATGTAGTTTCCTTTTCACTTGTTCCAGGGTGACAGTGGCGGAGGAGTAACAGCAACAATTCGTGGGAGAAATTACTTAATGGGAGTAGCCGTTTGGGGACCATATTGTGATGTGGTTGCTCGAAATGTTAAAGGTCGTTTTCATCCGAAGGTAAGCAAAGCTTTGAACATTTCTTCAATGTCAGACAATAGTACATCGAAAAATTAAAAGTCTTCTTCTTTCATTATGTTCACTGCTCTCATGATTTTAGGTTGCCACTGACATTATGTATTACAAGAAGATGATAGAAACATGGATTCGGGCAAAAAGAAGTAGAAAACCTGAAGTTGCAAATCCACGATACGGAAAGCCCCATCATTTGCTTACACCAGACTTGAACGATCTAATTAGTAGCATTCTTCGCTTGCCCATATTCGGTCCTTTCCTGATGTTTTGATGATGCTACGCTTGTTGCTAGATGCAATTTCTAACGATTAACATCACTTTCTATCTAATGCAAAAATGCGTTATTCAGATAAATGAAAAATAGCTCAATGTATAGCTCAATTAGAATGAAGTTCGACATATGTCGAAACTTTCACATCAGCTAGCAAAAAAATTCAAAAAAGAAATTAACATGTTCGGAAAAAGGGAACGAAAAATCTGCATGTTTTATGGTACTTTATCGGTGTCTTGGGGGTATATATTCGTAAATAGCGGTACCCACAATCTCTAAAACATCGCTTGTTTCTCTTCATCTTATTAACTAAAAATAATTCCCCAGTAATGAGCATATTTGAGCGTGGGGTGTGGCATGCCACATCTTGGGTTGTACTGAGGGGTCACAGGTGAGAGGGAGTAAAATAAGTAGATTGGCATTGGTGCAAAAAAAATGTGATGTGGTGAGTAGTTAGTATGCCAGCACGAGGTTAGTAGATTTATTGTCAGTAGTGGCGGCCTAACGTTTCGACGATTTCGTCTTCTTCAGAGGCCTAAAGTGGTAGGAGATTTAGATCTTATGCTCCACCCCACCACAAACCTCCTCCACCCCTGGCCAGCCTCGATTCCACCCCCGAATGTTACAAAGAAAAATACGCAAGTACGCAAAAGACGAACTGACCTCCTCCGCCGCTGCCGCTCAGGTGGATGTTGAATGCGGCCGTCCTCGAGTGCCACTAGTATGGAATACAGTGTATACCATATTGATATTAATCAGTGGCATTCTTCAACACACATAATGCCATAAAAGGCATAAAGTCATTCGTGATTGACGCACACTCATTTCGGTCGTTCATGCATGGATTTCTTGCAAAAATCCAGAATGCCTCGAGAGCTTTTCTACTAGCAGTATCAGACTCGTATGCCAGTATAGTGCACGTAATTTCAAAGTCTTTACCACAATGGAATTCAACCCTATGTTTACCAAGTGGTGTGGTAAGACTTCCCCGTCTCTTGCTGGCAAGATGTTTCTTCATTCTTACCCAAAGCGGTCTCCCAGTCTCTCCGATATAAGTGGCGCTGCACTCGATACATTCAATCTCATATATAACACCCGTTTTACCGCAGTCACCAACTTTACCGGATGGACAAACTACGCAGTCTGGACTCTGCAGTAGTTGTCGTATAGTCTGTTACGAACTAGCCGCTTTCTGATGTTATCACTAGGAAAATCAACTAAAATGACATCGTCTTGCAAGTTCGCACGATCAATGCATCGCCGCACTGCAGCACTAGTTTCGTTAGAAACGAAAGGAAGGCAAAGAGGTGCTTTCTATTGGTGCTGATTGCTATGAGTGGAAATGTATGGTCTTCTGCGTCCTTTTTGGGGCGCGTAACCATTCATTCGAGCAATCTGCAGCGCCCTACATTGTGATTCCTTCCGTTCTTCTTCTCCTGTGCATACGTTCGTTGCCGTTTTGAGCATGTTACGAATGACAGCTCCTTTAACAGCGATCGGATGTGCAGAACGAGTATTGATCAAGATATTCTTGGAACTCTCTTTACGATACCATTTCACACTCGCAGCGCCGTTGAACAATTTGATTTGTACGTTGAGAAAGGGGAGCCAACCATTTTTCGGTTGCTGCCGCGTAGGCTTTATGTGCTGTGACTGTTGATTGAGTAGTCGAAAACACTCATCCATTTCGGATTGTGTTGATGTTATGACGCAACAGTCATCGATGTAGCGACAACACATAAGAGGCATACGTGACAGCACTGGTTCTTCTATTCTGCTCATAAAGCAGATCGCCAATACTGGAGCTAGTCTCTGTCCCATTGCAAGACCTCTTAGTTGAGTATAGTATGTTCCTGACCACCGAAAGATGTTACAAGAAAGGCATTCTTGGATCACAACCGATCTTGTACTCAACCCGAAGGTTTGGATGTTGCTACCAAAGCTGTTCAACATTTCCGAAACTGCCTGCAGAGCATCATATTTTAAACATTCGTGTATAGAGACACGACATCAAAAGATTCTGCTATACATTGCGTTTGCAAAGTAGTGTTGCGAAGGCGTTCCAAGAAATGATTCGTATTGGTTAAATGAGACGGAACTTTGTCCAGAAGCTGATTAACAATCTTATTCAAGAACCAGTAAATTCGGTCGGTTGGTCCTCCCATACAACTTATGATCGGTCTTATTTTCAACTGTTCTGCCGTCAAAATGCGCGCGTCATCAGCAGCGGTTAGTTTATGGGTTTTAACAAAACTATAAAAGACTGGGCATTCTGGTGTTTCCAATTTCAATCTGCTGAGAAAGCTCTCGGAAAGGCCAGCTGCTCTTCCTACTTCCACCGAAACATGGTTTAGTCGCCTGTATTGTGCTTGAAAGTCTTTCTCAGTTACACGGCGATAGATGGTCGTATCGCTAAGGTGGAGTTCTGTGATTTTCCTGTCCAAGATTTGTGGAAGAACCACAAATTCTCCTCCCTTGTCGCTTACCGAGATACGTATAGCTTTACTAGAGACTATATCACGTACTTCCTTATAACCAAGTCGTTGCGAATGAGTCAAGTTGATCGGTTGTGGGTGCTTAGCTTGATGAGTAGCATCTAGCACACCAGCAGATAGAATCTTAAACTTGACATCAGCTTCAGCCGATGGCTGAGGTTCTTTGTTAAACAAACTTGGGAAAGGAATGGGTGGAATTGTTCGTCTTGACTGTGAATTTTGAGCATTCTGTGGATTTTGGTCATTATCACTAAGTCTAGTTCTAAAGGGGAGCCAACCATTTTTCGGTTGCTGCCGCGTAAGCTTTATCAGTATCTTTATCTTTATCAATCAACAGTCACAGCACATAAAGCTTACGCGGCAGCAACCGAAAAATGGTTGGCTCCCCTTTCTCAACGTACAAATCAAATTGTTCAACGGCGCTGCGAGTGTGAAATGGTATCGTAAAGAGAGTTCCAAGAATATCTTAATCAATGCTCGTTCTGCACATCCGATCGCTGTTAAAAGAGCTGTCTTCGTAACATGCTCAAAACGGCAACGAACGTATGCACAGGAGAAGAAGAACGGAAGGAATCACAAAGTAGGGCGCTGCAGATTGCTCGATTGAATGGTTACGCGCCCCAAAAAGGACGCAGAAGACCATCCATTTCCACTCATAGCAATCAGCACCAACAGAAAGTACCTCTTTGCCTTCCTTTCGTTTCTGACGAAACTAGTGCTGCAGTGCGGCGATGCATTGATCGTGCGAACTTGCAAGACGATGTCATTTTAGTTGATTTTCCTAGTGATAACATCAGAAAGCGGCTAGTTCGTAACAGACTATTTATATATGAGATTGAATGTATCGAGTGCAGCGCCACTTATATCGGAGAGACTGGGAGACCGCTTTGGGTAAGAATGAAGGAACATCTTGCCAGCAAGAGACGGGGAAGTCTTACCACACCACTTGGTAAACATAGGGTTGAATTCCATTGTGGTAAAGACTTCGAAATTACGTGCACTATACTGGCATACGAGTCTGATACTGCTAGTAGAAAAGCTCTCGAGGCATTCTGGATTTTTGCAAGAAATCCATGCATGAACGACCGAAATGAGTGTGCGTCAATCACGAATGACTTTATGCCTTTTATGGCATTATGTGTGTTGAAGAATGCCACTGATTAATATCAATATGGTATACACTGTATTCCATACTAGTGGCACTCGAGGACGGCCGCATTCAACATCCACCTGAGCGGCAGCGGCGGAGGAGGTCATTCGTCTTTTGCGTACTTGCGTATTTTTCTTTGTAACATTCGGGGGTGGAATCGAGGCTGGCCAGGGGTGGAGGAGGTTTGTGGTGGGGTAGAGCATAAGATCTAAATCTCCTACCACTTTAGGCCTCTGAAGAAGACGAAATCGTCGAAACGTCAGGCCGCCACTACTGACAATAAATCTACTAACCTCGTGCTGGCATACTAACTACTCACCACATTACAACTAACTATGCCGAGGTTAAGAAAGGACGAAACATGGAAGTTACTTACTAAAAATGTGATATTTGTTGTCAGCATGTCAAATAACCCTGTTATGCAAAATAAAAGCGAATATTGACCCAGTAACGCATATCCACCGTAGGCACAAAGAATAAAAACAGTGGGATGTATTCGACGTTCCTGAAGTTTCAAATACTGGGTTGCTTAGTCAAGATGATCAGTTTCAAAGATAGTTAACTTTGTTTTAAAAAGGATTAGCTATCTTTTTTGCACTCGTACGAAGAAGTTCAGTCGAGACCTCGCTCTCTTCGTGTTGTGTGGCCATGCTCCCTTACTCAGACCAACAAATAAGAATTGTGTTCAAATCACTTGTATCGTAACTACGAGATTTAGTCTTCTAGATTACATATTGTCACATATTTGCATACCGTACTTTGCTCCGTGATAAAAAGTTGGGGGTATGGAACAATTGAAGGTGTAACTGCCACATGCTTTTTGAGGTTGTGCCACACCCATTTTTGTCACAAATTGACTTTTGTTGACTTATAAATGGTATGATAGCATGAATATCGTAAATTTCAAAGGGACATTTTGAACTTGATTTGTCTTCATGCGGCTAAGTAATCATCGCTAATAGTGTAACCATTTGAACAAAAAATGGGATAAACGACTTTGGGCTGAGCTTCTCCAAGCTTAACGTTATTTGAAGTAGAATTTCTAATGGGGGATAGTGCTTTGTATTGTGTGCAAAAAGAGAAAACTAATTACCTTCGAGCCTACTGGCGCCCTCCAGCCAAATGATTCTTGCACGTGCGCCTGCCTTGAGCTGTCAGTATCTCAAATGCTCTCCCATCATCGTAAGTTCCTTTTCAAAATGCTGTTCTTTTACCACTTTTTCATTTTTTTTCAATCTAGCGACTCCTGGGGTTTAAAGACAGGCTTGAAATCCAAGTTGTAAGTCGCAACGGTAACTACGTGTCGCTAACAAGCTGGGTAGGGTACATAATTTGTAGCGCCCTAAGAAACCCTGTGCGTCGCTGAAATGGGCAGATAATTTCTGCTTCTTAGGTGACCCTTCGGGTCGCTAGTAATTGGGAAGGGCAAATAATTTTTGATGCCTAGGT